ATCCGAGCTGTCAGAGCAAACAAGTGTAATTCCATTTGTGCAAAAATGTTTAAGTCTACTGTGTGACAAGAAAGTTCCAGATTATTAGTACTGGTCAATCCCAATAAGGGAATAACGGTTACTTTGGGCTAGAGATGCTTTTCAGTTTAACATAGTATTAATTTCTTATGCAATCGAAATCTTGTATCACAAACGCAAATATATATCATATTAAACTGTCAATATACATACTATGAAAGTCGACCTGATGGTGGCTCCAGAGGAAAAGTCAGGGGAACACAAAAGTATGCTTCCTCTAGAGACCATGAATGTCTCTAGAATATTTGTCGAGATATCTCCATTTGGAACGAAGTGGTGGAAGGACAAAGGGACGGACCTCGCAGTCTTTAGATTGGAGTTCAGCCACCCCGGAGAACTGAAAAATCATCATGAAATGTCTGAGTCAAGACATAGACATATAATAATAGAAAAACAATAGAATTTTGCCAGAATATTTATTTGCCTTTTGCAATCTCATACCTCAATATCGGCCTCAAAACTCAGTATCAGGCTTTGTGTCCTGTGTCTGGCATCTGGAGTTGTGAAGTTACTAAAAATAAAAGCTTGAAGACTTGATAATATCGCAGGACTTATGCAACAAGAGCAGCTGGAAAAAGGCAGCATCACTCTTATTACAGAACATACTGTATAAGGGTGACGGTATATGATTACGATAAGGTGAAAAGGCGAGGCATCATGCCTCAGTAGTAAGTGAGACAAACGCGAGAAACTTGGAAGTGTCTCGTTTGAGTGGGGTACCAAATAACAGCCGTAAAAGAAGATCACAAGCTTCAGACAGGGTTACAGGACGAGAGGCCAGCACCAGAGCACAAGCTGTCCACGGCACAATGTGCTGGACATTAACGTCCCTGATAATATGAGAACACATTTATTTGAGATTTACAGAGCGGCTTGGGTTTCACTTGCAGGCGACAAGCCCAGGACGTGTGCCTGAAACTAGTTAACTGAATGACCAGCAGCCAGCATGAGCATGCTAAGTTTCATAAGACTCATATCTCAATGAGAACAGCGTGTGATAATCTCTCTGCTGAGTCACAAGTTGACCAGACTCTAAAGAGTGTACTGTGTCTCAGACTAAAGTCCATTTTAGGTTTTAACCTCCAATGACCAACTGAGGTTAACGTATAAAACATTTGAAATGTAATCGCAATTTATGTGAAATTAAATGAAAGAAAACATTCCAAATTCTTTACTTTCATATATCACGATAAAATAATACTTAGAAATCACATAAAAGATGGAAAGTGTTGGAAACTTCACATGACACCACATGAATTCTCTTATTTGATCATTATTGTCTGTAATGTTTATCTGGTATTCATAATATCTATCAAAGAGGCAAGCAGCTGAACCCTAACACTTGCTAGCATGCTATACAAGACAATGTGCAGTTTACTTACCTTAGCGTATTAGCAGGCTTACATTAGCACTAGCATAACTCTAAACATGTTGTACAGTGAAAGCTAAGAGGAATGTCTTAAGTCTGTCAGGTAGTCGGCTGTTTAATTAAGTTTACTTGAACTACTTGGACATATGCTTACGTGTAAAGTAACCGAGTTACTCTAAGCTCTACTTTTACTTGAAGAGCCCATATTCTGCCTTTTTTGGGGTTCGTATATTTAATCTATGTATCTACTTTTGTACGTTCACAATAGCTAAAGTCAGAAAAAAGTGTCTGTTTTCATGTCCTGCTCCTCCTTGCTCCCTCTACGCTCTGAGTCCGTCAGCTGCACTCTGTTGAGCCCACACTGTTAGACCCCACGTGGGCCAAGTCTGCTCTGATTGGTCTGCTGATCCGCTCTGTCGTTATTGGTCAGTTGCTCAGCACGCTTCTCGGAAATTTCAACATGAGCTGCAGGTCTTGCCACAACTAGCCAATGGGCTTAGATCAGTGATCTCACACTGACAATGACGTCGGACTGACAAATTTTTATCGAGGGGGCTAGAACCGAGTGTTACATGCGGCTAATGCTACAGCTAACAGGAGGACGTAGGAGAAGCCGCGTTTCCGCAGACTTTGAATTTTTGCACATAGATGTGCCTAAACATGCACAGGACACTTGGAAAACACACTAAAGAGCATATAAAACCAGAAAAGGCATAACATGGGACCTTTAAGTGTGAGCAACTTTTGGTTTGTGTAAACTTTGGCACCCCTTGAGGACAAGGTGGTACATCTCAACTCTTTGCACATTTTGTCCTCTTAATGAGTAAGTGTTTCCTGACAAAAAATCATCATCATGCTGAACTTTAACAGTGAACTGTATAATAATAATATAATATTTGCTGTTAAAGGCTGTTTCTTTACTGTGCCGTTCATCGTTTTGCCTGACCTCTACCCCGTGGCAGCAGTTCAGGGGTTAAAAGTTACAGCATTGAGTTAGTAAGTGCATCATTAGTAATTTTAGTCTCTTTATATATTACTTAAAAACTTCTCACAGGGGCTTTAAGTACAAAAAAAAAGCTTCCAGGAAATTGTACCAATGTAGTATAGAAGAGAAAGTGCTTTGTTTAAACTGAAAACAAATGATCCACTGATTAAAGAATATTTAAATGAGCTACAACTGGGCAAGCTACAAAATGAAACCGTACTTACATAAACTATTTAATAATACAGGCGCCATTTGGCATAATGGGTATAATCTTTATTTGAATACATTGAATGAAGGAACTGTGCTTATGTAGAAGTTTAAACAGATTATTTTAGTGTGGTGTTGCTAGTTTTGATGTCAAAAAACGTCTTTTGTTCAATCTTTAAAACATTGTAAGAAATATTATTTTTGATACTGCCTACTGTATGTAGTTTGTGAATCTTGTATTAATACTTTTTTATATGCCTTATGTACGGCTCTTTTTGATGTTCTTGAAATCAACTTGAAATGCCATTCACAGAATGTACCGAGTAAATGATCTGGTGCTCCACCACTGGACATAGAAAAACTTGGAAGTACCTCCCGCTGCTGTCCCCTAACAGATGAGGACTCTGGGACATTTCTAATTTATGACTGGAGAAGAACCAGCAGCTGATAACCTAATTTCTCTCCATTTTTGCCAATGAAGAGAGGCATCTTTGAAAATCAGAATCATCTTCCAAAAAAAGGTTCTGGTGAGGAAATATAAAAAGAAAAATATAAAAGGAGTAGAGAGGGAAATAGAGAACATTTAAAGAGCTGCTTATACAGTACATCTGGCTTAGTGGAGATTTCTTTGCAAGTTACATTGACCTGGCAGGAGCAGCTCTTAAAGACAGTATGTCACAAGTGAGACATGATATGAAAATGTGAGTTCTTTGTGAGCACCAATAAACAGCGCTGACTTGGGTTTTAAAGGGGGTGACATTTAAGTTGAGTCATGACAAGTTGAAAAGTTCAGCACTAGCTTCAGCGTCTACTTGTCACTCAGTAAACACTCTATATGGGTACCATAATAATAGACATATGGGACATCTAAGAAGAGGCTGTGGTTCCTCAACCCACACGAGGGGGTCCTATAGACCGGGGGTCCTGCACGTACTCTGTTCTGAGGAGTCGTATCTCATCCTTGCAGATGGTGACAGGGCAGCACAGAGCCTGTCTGGACACTTCTATTAATAGGCCCAACTAAAATAGACATTCATCACATGAAATCAATGATGCCACTTAGATATGACGGAGTGCACTGCCTGACCGAGTGCCTACACGTTGGCATTATCCTGGAACTCCCTGCAACAGCTTTCATCTGCAGCGTTTTGTTAACATAGGTGCAGTATCAGATGGCAGATGCCTAATGTGTTTTTTTTTTAAACATTTAAAATGAAATGCCTAGAATCCAATGTCTGATAGCCGATAATACCTCTTTAATCAGCAGGAGATAATCAAATAAATGAGTTCAAAGGGAAGCGAGGCAAGCAGACTAAAAAAGATAATGTCATACCCTGTGGATTTTCATCGCTGGTGTTGGAATAAGAAATTGTGGAGTACTGCCCCCCTGTGGCTGCAAACTGACCTGTTTGCTTGTGAAGAGAATCTTAGATGGACTATACTAAATATTTCAATAAAACTTTTTGAAGTCTGAACTTCAAACCAAAATGAGATATTGATGATGCAGACAAGCCGAGTCTTGTAATGCCTGCATGTCTTTCTATGCAGTTACTCCACTTTATTCTTTAAAATTATATTCCAGTTTCTGCTTATGCCTTGACTTTTTAATTAATATATTTGTTATACATCTTTATGTATAAATCATTCCAATTGCCCTCATTTCATTTGTCACTATTTTCAGGTATTTATCTCATTTTGATGAGAAATCCTTTAGCCAAACTCAAAATCCAATACCTTAATGTGTTCTGATTAAATGATTATATTTTCACAGGCTTGGCATGTATCACTTCAAACATTTGCAGTCTAGTTTGTCTTAATGTATTTGAATTTTATTGCAGGAATCCTCACTCAGCCTTCACTCTAACTCACGTCAGGGTCTGTGTCTTCATACCGTGATGTCTCTCCACATCCTCTCTTCAGCCATGCTTTTCTTATTGACTCATCCTATAAATTGCATGTACACACAAGAAAACTAATTCTCAGACTAGAGCTGGAAATGAGCCCACTAAAAAAAAAAAAACTGGACACATTATGCAGTGCACTGCATCTCTACAGAAAAAGCCACAATTGCTGTAACATTTGCCCCCCCCCCCCCCCCCCACAACCCCTGAGGTGCTTAAAAAGAGCAATAAAACAAATAGACTGAGAAACATTATCTAAAGGATGTGTTTGAACTCAAACTGGCTTGAAGTCCCAGTCAATGAAACTTAAAAGAGTGACAGTCTGGAAATAAACCCAATTTATATTCATAAAAAGTTGTGAAAATCTTAAAATTATACTCAACATTTTAGTTTCTCATGTTTCTTAGTAAATGTTCAAATATTGTTGTTCCTTGTGCTCAACAGACTTTCTTAAAACCTCTTATTAGCTTATTACAGCTTTATTTGAAATAAACACTTAATAAAACAAGCACACAATAATAAACCAATGTTGTTAGTTGTTGTTACAAGAGGGGATTGCCAAACAATTTAAAAGAATAAAAAAGGCACCAGTGTTGCTCAACTTGTACTAAACTTTGCATTTATGATTCTTGCAATGACAGGTGACTACAAAGCTCTGCAACCTTTATCCAAGAAATAAAAACTAAAGTACAGTCGTGCAAATTAAAACAACTTTGATCAGTTTAAAGGCTTAAGAACAAACTTTAAAAGAAATATCCATGACTGCATGCGTATGCATTTGGCCAACATTCTGCGGATATGTAACGGCCGTGCGCAAGTTGTGGCGCAGGTCGGCTACCACGGGAGGGTTTTGGGTGTTCTTAAACTCAGACCAAGGTTGTTGGTTGGCATCGTCTCCTGTCTGTAGAGAAACGAGACGAATGAAAAGTTACAGAAAGAAGAAAAGAGTTACTCAGAGCTGAAGCAGGATGTCAGAGGAGAAAACTTACTTTAGATCAAACGCTCTATTTACACCCCACACAAACGGAGCAGCGTTATCATCAGCCTCTGCAACACAAAACACGTGTTACTTTTACAAAATAAAAATATAGATCAAGTCTCGTTCAGGTCACACGGGTGAATTTAACAAGAATAATAAGAAATGCTTTTAGATATTGTGCACTCAAATCTAAAATAAGCACAGTTTGTTTCCGAACAGATCGAAACCACTCTCTCATCTTCCCATCGGAAAATTGTATAGTTGAACGGAAATTTTAATTCAGACTTGACGTGGTTACAGTGTGGCAAACATTAACACTTGGTACTCTCTGCATGTTTTACATCCACCTGAATGTGCTAAATGTTGATATGCCCGTTTCAAACTGACCCAGCCTACCTTCAGTAAAAAGAACCTGATTTATCGCGCTATTCCTACGAGAGGCTACATGTTCACTGTGCTTGTTTACATCCGGGTTGTAGAGCGGGGAGGAGCAGGCTCATCATCGGAGCCGTTTAGTCTAAACGTGCACATCCCTACTCTCATTCCTGTACAATGAATATGCAGCAGGAGGTGGCTAACTTAGCTTAGCATGCATTCATAATGAAAACAGAAAGCAGCAGTTAGCCTGAGTCTTAGCAAAATCGGCATCAAGCACCGCTAAAGCTTACTTCAAAGTGTAAAAATAAATAAAACAATAATTTGAATTACTTATTGTAATAAATAATACCTTCATCCCAATCCTCAGTCATGTTTGGGTTCACCCAGGTGCTGACAGGGACCTGCCACTGACAATGTCCATTCGTGTTTCCAGCTGTAAACAGAGCATAATTAAACCCTCAACGCTTGTCATCTTTGTAGAGTTATTAAATAGCAAGAAATCGTGTCAAACTTACTTTCTTCAGTGTCCACAGATATCCTGTCCTCACAGGTTTCTGTATGGTACATGAGCTCATGCTTGGGGACCAGGTGGCGAGCATTAAAAGGGCAGGTTTTTAACTCACTGGCCAGTTTGGGATGATTCTACACCAGTGAGAGGCAAGTAACAGTCAAACTGACAGGGAACCAAAGGTCTTGTAACCCCCCCCCCCCACGACCTTCTGTTCACTTGGTACTAAGCTTTGGTATCATAGCAGGAAAAGACAAGACAATGATATGAAGGTGGGTGATGTCTAACAAAGCAGACATTTGTGTTGTGCACCTAAGAGTGAAGCGGCAAAGCCATGAACTTGCCTGTACCTCTAGAAACAAAAGAAAAAAGAAAGAAACTGATTGTGTCTCTATCTATAAATCAAGTGGTTAAAGGTTTCTGTAAATGAATAACAGCATCATATCCCTAGAAATAAGAGGATTCCTTAAGGAAAGGTTGTTTGATACTAAGGGTTAACTTGCCAGTGCTGTTAGGAGTCTGAAGTTGTGATGTTTAACTTTACTGCATAACTTAGAAGTATCTCTGTAACACATCCATCTCCAATGATATACATTTAAATTATACTAAGTATTTTCTTTAAATTTTGCTTCATCAGACCTTGAGTGCATCAAAAATGTAAACTTACCTTCCTGCACTTTATGAGATGATATGGGAAGCGGCAAGCTCGGATCTGGTGATTTTTGTCGAAAGGGCACTGAAGAAGTTTATCCGGGTCACAGTTTCCTTTTTCATCTTGATAAAAAAAATAGAAAGAAATGAATAGATCTAAACTATTTATATTCATCAACACAGTGGACATGGATCCAATACAATGAAAAGGTTTTTTAAAAAAAGCTCAGTTTTACCAGGTTCTTCTGGAGCCCTCCCAAACGAAGAGGTCTTGCATGGATCAATCGTTGTTCCAAATGTGATGGTGGTCGCCATCTTCAGCTCAGATTCCCTGTCAACTAGAAAGTTCAAAAGACATGTCAGTCAATTGTAACACTCAGGATACAAAATTTACTTTAAATAAAATATGTATTTATAAATAATAAATTATCAAACAAAAACAAGATGGAACAAATTAATGTGTACCAGGCAAATGTAGGTTAGACTCTTGGAGCTGGTGGAGAATTAAACACACAAAGCAGAATGTTGATAACCGGTTTTGTATTTCAAAGGTAAATTTTTAACAAGTAACAAAAAAACACTTGAACTTAATCAAAGAAAATCCCACAATTTAAATAAAAGAAAATAGGCCTTCAATTCACAGATTCTTACGGGCACCTTTTACCCTCCATACAACATATGCTAAATATTCCCAATTCTATTCATATAAATCAATGCACCAAAACACATTACACGCACTGCAGTTATTTGTTATGTGTGTGCAGATGTCCAAAGAGGGGAAATCCTACCACACCCTTTAACCAGACAGCCATGGAAAACAGAAAAAATAAAAACTGTAGAAATCTGGATGCACAAGCAAATTTAAAAAAACTCAACCATGGAAAACAGGATGAAAACCAATCAGATCTTTCTGTTCAACTCTGCAGGAAACTCAACAGGTGGTCCAAATTACATGTCCCACTAATGGTTTGCTTTCTCTTTTAGGTTTTTAACCAAAATCACACACACACACACACACACACACACACACACACACACACACACACACACACACACACACACACACACACACACACACACACACACACACACACACACACACACACACACACACACACACACACACACACACACACACACACACACACACACACACACACACACACACACACACACACACTACATTTTGCTCTGACAACTATACAAAAATAAATAAAAGCCACACGATATGAGTCTACTTTTCTCTTTTTTTTTTTTTTTGCAAAATGCTTAAAAGCCCATTCCCTTTTTCTGTGTGTGTGTCTTAAAAGTCTAAAAGGTAAAGATTTACCACTGTCTACCTGAGTCAGCTGTCTTCTGCAGTATTTATCTCCAGGCTTAAACTCAACTTCTGCAACTTCAACATCTGAAAGTGGTTTCACTTTTCAACGTGGTTCACCGCATCGCAGATTTGGTAAACATAATACTAATTTAAATATACTTTGAGGGTAGCTACATGTGGCTTAAGGCAGATTTGGTATCATTAAAAATACTCAAACATTACCGTGAAATCGTGCAGCAGAAAGTTGGTTGCAACGTTTGCTAGCAAAAACTCGGCAACACGCCCGGCTAGCTAATTTACAAGTATTCTCCAAAATACCTCAGAGGAGTAGAAGATAATTAAATCAATTGTTTTACTTTTATTAAATCTGGACTACCGCCTTTAAAAAAAAATAAATAAAAAATAGGCTTACTATAAAACTAAAAATTCGAGGATTCTACTTTTGTCGCTTTTTTTTCCTGGAACATCGAAGAAAATTTGGTCGCCCCGCCCCCTCCGGGAATTTATCAACTCCAGCGAAACACGCGACTTCCGGTTGAAACTATCCTCAGCCACCACTTTTATTTAAATATTTACATTAAAAATTAACTAAAACATCTGAAACACATCTCAATGAACTCTAAAATATTGATTCTAACCCAACTGTTTTGTTTGATGCTCAGAAATGTCTAATTATATATATATATATATATATATATATATAATGGCAAGCCGTTCAGGAAATTAATATATTGAACAAAGTCTGAATATATTGAACAAAGTCTGAATATATTGAACGGAGTCTGAATATATTGAACAAAGTCTGAATATATGGAATGAAACTTTGAATATGTTGAATGAAACTTTGATTATATGGAATGAAACTTTGAATATATTGAATGAAACTTTGAATATATGAATGAAACTTTGAATATATTGAATGAAACTTTGAATATATGAATGAAACTTTGAATATATGAATGAAACTTTGAATATATTGAATGAAACTTTGATTATATGGAATGAAACTTTGAATATATTGAATGAAACTTTGAATATATTGAATGAAACTTTGAATATATTGAATGAAACTTTGAATATATGAATGAAACTTTGAATATATGAATGAAACTTTGAATATATTGAATGAAACTTTGATTATATGGAATGAAACTTTGAATATATTGAATGAAACTTTGAGTATATGAATGAAACTTTGAATATATTGAATGAAACTTTGAATATATGAATGAAACTTTGAATATATTGAATGAAACTTTGAATATATTGAATGAAACTTTGAATATATGAATGAAACTTTGAATATATTGAATGAAACTTTGAATATATTGAATGAAACTTTGAATATATGAATGAAACTTTGAATATATTGAATGAAACTTTGAATATATGAATGAAACTTTGAATATATTGAATGAAACTTTGAATATATTGAATGAAACTTTGAATATATTGAATGAAACTTTGATTATATGGAATGAAACTTTGAATATATGAATGAAACTTTGAATATATGAATGAAACTTTGAATATATTGAATGAAACTTTGAATATATTGAATGAAACTTTGATTATATGGAATGAAACTTTGAATATATTGAATGAAACTTTGAATATATGAATGAAACTTTGAATATATTGAATGAAACTTTGAATATATTGAATGAAACTTTGAATATATGAATGAAACTTTGAATATATTGAATGAAACTTTGATTATATTGAATGAAACTTTGAATATATGAATGAAACTTTGAATATATTGAATGAAACTTTGATTATATTGAATGAAACTTTGAATATATGAATGAAACTTTGAATATATTGAATGAAACTTTGAATATATTGAATGAAACTTTGAATATATTGAATTAAACTTTGAATATATTGAATGAAACTTTGATTATATGGAATGAAACTTTGAATATATTGAATGAAACTTTGAACATATTGAATGAAACTTTGAATATATTGAATTAAACTTTGAATATATTGAATGAAACTTTGAATATATGGAATTGAAGCTGATTTCAATTCTCCAAATCCACCAGTTTCATTGTTGTCATCCAAAAGACACCCTGATGAATATGCTGGTTTTGCAAAATTACATCAGCTGAAATATACTAATACTTTCTTGAAAATCAAAACTTTTTTGAAAAGTTGCTGGTCGTACTCAAAATCATATGAATAATTTTGAATGTAGAAAGCTTCACCTTGAAGATCATAGTTCAATTATTGGAACACTTTTGCTGCTTATGAGTAGTAATGCTCAACAAAACATTGCTGAGCGCACTTTATGCATCCATCTTTAGGGATTCTTTTAGTCTCTTACTGAAATGGAAGCTGAAATAACACTACGGACTTCCAATCAATATTTTCAAAGTTCCATTCCATATATTCAGACTTTGTTCAATATATTCAGACTTTGTTCAATATATTCAAAGTTTCATTCAATATATTCAAAGTTTCATATATTCAGACTTCGTTCAATATATTCAAAGTTTCATTCAATATAATAATTTCCTGAACGGTTTGCCATAATCGTAGATCGGTCAAAGGTTATTTTTTTGTTAAACAAGTATTACAGCCTTGTAAAAGAGCTCTTGATCTCAACGGGTTAATTACCTGGTTAGATAAATAAAAACAGAACATATAATACATACAAAGCATTTATGCAATTGAACTTCTCTACACAGGAAATACATTTTTTTAAATGTTTTTTTATTGTGGCAGCAAGCTTCTGCAGTTTTAGTATTAATGTTGGAAGTTCAGTTTGGGGTCAAAATATCAAATGGTTCCTCTTTCCCTTTATAATCAATACAAAACCTAACCAACCAGGGTTTGTGCCAGAGCAGTAAATGAAAATGTTACAGCCTAACAGTTAGCTTTTCAATTTTGTAATTACATTATAGCAAGAATTTGACTTCGGCTATCAAATCAAATTCTATTCATGTTTTGGAGAAATGTTCCAAATTTTTTATTTTTCCTTCATCAAATTAGATAACCAGCTCATTTTGAAAGTATAATTTAATGTTTCAAAACTTAACACCACCATGCTTCCATTAGTTCTAGATGTTTTCATTTTGTCTGGATGATCTTATATTTATTTTTTGTTCATTACAGGGAGAAAGTAAAGAGTCTAATATCGCTGTATTTATTTTTGTTTGTTTGACTTCTATGATGGATTAGCCCAATAGAAACTCTTGTCAAACACCTTTTTTATAGACCAGGGCGCAGTAGTTTGACATTAAGTAAATACGAGACGACAGATGGAAGCTGCTGAAGAATGAGCTACTCTTATAAAAGTTTATCATTGGATCTGTGTGTATAAACAGAGGGAGGGATGTGAGCACAAGAGCCCATAAAAACTGAAATGTTCCATGATAAGTAATGAACCGTGACAAAAGCATTACACAGTCCTGATCTTTACCACTAGGTGGCAGCTACCAATCTTTTTTCTTATCTTCACATACGACTGGACTCAGATCAACCTGGTTTATTTTATTTATTTATTTTTTTATAACAATCTCTTTCAACAGGTAAACTTTGTTATTTTGGGGGCCATCAAATGATATTTCTTGGTAAAGCGGGCATGTTTAGATGTAAAATTTGCTTGTAGCTCAGTATATCACTGTGCTGCAAACTGCAGACAGTCATACATACACTGAACCCTAACCCTATGCCTGCTGCCTTTGGCCAAATGACTCAACCACATAATGCTGCATATCTGAAAAAATATAGGCAAAAGACACGAACAATGGTTATCATACAAAACCATTCAAGAAATGAAGACAGAACAAAACATGAGAAAGAACTAAAAACCTTAAAATACTAGAAAATTACAACAACAAAAAAGAAACAATGTTATAAATGGGATAATAAAAGTTTAAAAGTGCTACAAAAGTTCTATACTCATTAATGACAAACCTAAACCGTCTTTACCCTTTTAAAAGACAATAATGTAGTAACAAACCTCAGCGTCTACTGTCATGAGACTCGAGCATTTTCTTTGCTTCCACATCTACACATCGCACCGCAAAATGAGTAAGCCACAGTTTCCGTTCCTGAGTGCACATGTAAAATGGTCAGAGGATCAACTGTGATGTTCATGTGTCGTTGTGTCAGGTGGGGCGTTCACAGTATTTCATTAGATCTCTTGCAAACATTGTGTGTGGGTGAACTGTTTGACGTGATCTGCTGGGATCAATGAGCTCTGAAGCAAACAACACAGCGAGCTACAGAGCCTTTACTTTGACGCTGCTTTGGCAAGAGCAGAGTACGTTTAGGACCGCCCAATCAGAATGAGCTTTCTGAAACCCCATTAGACCAATTAACCCTCAAGTTAGTATATGAATTTGTCAAACTCGGTGACTAAGACTTGTTACTGTCTTGTGATTGTGACTTCACCACAATGTTGAAATGACCGTAACATACAGATAAATAAAACTAGAACTAATGTCAATCTTGTTATTTTAGTGAGATCATTGAATTCATGGTTCTCAAACAAGACCTCCACTAAATGTTTGAAACATGACATGTCAATATAACAATCATATAACCTCCGATAACCCAATTTGACTTCTTCTTTGTTTGTCTAAGAGTTTAAAACCTGTTTTCTTTCAACAGACCACCAACATGTACATTTGAGGAGCTAGAACCTCTGTCACTTTGGTCTGGTTAGATTTAGAAATAAAACAACTGACATGAACAAGTGGGCATTCAAACTGTTGCTGATTAATGTTTTCAACTGATGATTAAAAGAGGGTGCAGCATTATGAAAGATAATATCAGAATAAGAGATGATACTTCAACCTATGTATCACTCTTCTGAGGTGTCACCTTGTTCAAAACAAACCCACTAACAGGAAGCAGCACAGTGTGAAGACAATAATCCCCCAAAGAGTTATTATATGATTAAGAGACAAGTCGTTTCTCTGTAACAGTTTTCTTTTTCTTAACACCAATTAAAAAGAAAGTCAGTCAAGTAAGTGGCTGTAAACAAATTACCAGAAGGCCCCTATTCCTGACTCTATCCACTGTCCTATCTATAAATAGCAGGCAGGAAAAGCCCCGTAATAAACCTACAAAAATGTGTTGCTGCAGGATTCTGAATTAGCTAGAGTTTATTTGTGAACAGTAAGAATAACAGACGATAATAAAAGAGGGGGAAACCTTATTTGTAGAGCCCAAATACATTATAATATTTTCAAATAACCCCGAGCAATGGAGTGAAACAGGTCGGATGTGTGTTGTCATTCTGGTCTGGTGTTAACACCAACATAATTTGCAAAGCAAAAATATGCATTGCAACAGTCTGGCCTGCTCGTCATGAAGGTGTGCACATGATTCTGTTAGAGAAATGGATACCCCTTGCCATTTTTTAAAAGTGATATAAGGCAGTTTATTTGTCGCATTCAGGATGTGCGCATTGAAACAGACTTGAGACCAAACAGGAAATGTAACTGAAACCTTTTGCTTGATATATATGAAAGTAACGACCAGTTAAAATGAATGTGTTAGTTTTTTATTTAGACTCCGACTTAATTCAGTTTCTCAGTATGACTTGAACAACACAGAGATGTTTTACAGTAAACCAGGTGAAGCTTATTATTATCGGTATGCTCTGGTATTTGGGTCACTCAGGTGTTGGTTTTTTTTATATGCTTGTGGTATGATAAGAGGGAGGGAAATCAGCTGACGTGTTTTGCTCCATGAGGTCAGCGCTGATATTACAAAGCATACAATAAAGAAGTAGAAGCAGAAGCCGATCCCTCTTTAAACAATTCAGACTAAGAAAAATTATTGGTTGGAACTGAAAAATAAAAAGTGAGCTTTCAACAAAACTCTATCATAAATTTCACAATGTGTTCACAACATAACGTGTGTTCATATCATAACTTTCTGCAGTAATATCACTGTTTGCAGGATAAAGAAGCTTCATTTGTTAACATTTCCCCTTTTTTAATCGGAAAGTAAACCGACAACTCCTGTATGGTTCCTCCATTGTCACAAACATTTGTGTGGTCATGGTGTCTTTTGAAATTATTGCACAAGAAGAGAGTTATTCAGCACTCTGAGGATGTTGCTTTGTCATTAAAAGAGGAAATGTTTCAGGAACTGGGTCTTTTACAGGCGTACACTTACACACGATGATTTTCATACAAGATTAATCACCCTTACAACAGTACCTTCCAATAGTGTGTGCTACACAACTTTTATGAGCTGTTCCATCAATCATGTTAATCATTTATCACATAGTAACATGCAGAGGTATGAAGTGACACTGCAAATGAAGTGTAACTGAAAGTGTGGCTTTTATGTTTAATTCAGTTGTTGAGATCGGTGCCGTGTTTGGTCTGAAATCATGCTTAGTGCAGCTGATTACAGCGACAAATGTTGGTAAGAGTAATTGTTTGTTAGAAGAAGAATTCAAATCTTTTCTCATTTTACCATTTTATACTTTTTCATTGGTGCGCTGTAAATAGTGGCTCCCCCCTTAGCTCTCTGAATGAAGCTGCAGCCAATAGCTTCTTATATATTTAAGTATTTGAGTTATTTTAGGCCTAGTGGCTAGTTTTAACTTTAAATCTACAATAAGTGATATCTTTTTTTTCCCCTGAGACAAAGGTATCTTTTATTTGGTTAAAAGTAACTCCATTTTCAACGTTTTGGTATCTAACAGCAGCCTATTGCTTCATTGTAATGTGATATTTTAGATTTTGTGTTTTAATTTAGTATTGTGGTCTAATTGTGACAGGAAAAACCCCCCAGATTGATTAATTAATAAAGGCTACTGTTGTTTTTGATACTGAAGTGTGACACTGAAAGGCCAATAAACAAACATAAATTGGATAGGTGTTTGTTTAGACTCTAAACTTTAGAGATTGTTGACAAGCTTCTGGATAAGGGCTGAAGACGGATCTGAACCAACAACAAAAAAATATATATATATTTAAGCATTTACCTATTATGGAAGGCAATATTAAAAAGTGTACCAGACCTATGTGTGTGAGAAGCATGTCTCTTAATAACAGTTGAACAGTGAAACCAGAGTTACCCTCGGGGATTAGTATATAACACTAACACCTCCAGTCTGGTTAAGAAGGCTCATCAACGCCTCTTTTTCCTGAGGACACTGAAGAGACACCACCTGTCTTCAGCTGTACTGATGAACTTCTACCGCTGTGTGATCGAGAGCATCCTGACCAGCAGTGTCTCAGTCTGGTACGGAAACTGCTCTGTCACAGACCGTAAGGCGCTACAGCGGGTGGTAAAAACCGCCCAGCGCATCACAAGGTGTCCACTTCCTGCCATTGAGGATGTCCAAAGAACACGCTGTCTGCGGCGAGCTCACAGCATCCTTAAAGACTCCTCCCACCCTGCCCACAGACTGTTTACCCTCCTGCCCTCCGGCTGGCGCTTCAGAAGCCTCCGGACCAGAACCAGCAGACTGAGGAACAGCTTTTTCCCCAGAGCTGTTTCTCTACTGAACTCTACCCCCCCGAACTCTGAACTCTGTCTCTCTCTCTCTCTCTCCCTCTCTCTCTCCGCACCCTGCTGACCCCCCTTTCCCCTACATATCACCTCACACCCTTCATCCCCCCACCTCTCCTCCTGGTCACACACACACATCTCTCATCCATCTGTATTATTGTATTATAGTATGTTCATATTATGTCCATATTCTTTATATTATCTGTAAACTAGTATAACATGCTCACTGCATCTTAATCTGTATGTTATTAGTATAGCATGCTCACTGCATCTTAATCTGTATATTATTAGTATAGCATGCTCACTGCACCTTAATCTGTATATTATTAGTATAGCATGCTCACTGCACCTTAATCTGTATATTATTAGTATAGCATGCTCACTGCATCTTAATCTGTATATTATTAGTATAGCATGCTCACTGCATCTTAATCTGTATATTATTAGTATAGCATGCTCACTGCATCTTAATCTGTATATTATTAGTATAGCATGCTCACTGCACCTTAATCTGTATATTATAATCCTAAAAACACACATATTTTGTAACATTACTTATTTATAGCATTTATTTATATTTATTGCATCCCATTAATCCAGCCATCCAGATATACCTCATAATTCACTTTTTTTTGTCTACATCTGTAAATTTTGCAATTACTGTACATAGCACAGAATTACTGTACATAGCACAGACTTTTGCACTTTCTGCTTATTTGCACTTCTGGTGAGATGCCAAACCTCATTTCGTTACTCTATACTTGTATATGTGTAATGACAATAAAGTTGAATCTCATCTCATCTCATCTCATATAAACTTGTTATCATTTACAATAGGATCTAATTATTAATTTTGACGTTTAGAATTGTTCTAAGTGCCATTTAGTAGCGATACGTATTTATAATTTATAAATAGTTATACACAACTCATTATTAAAGCCCTCCCTCCCCCTCGCCCCCTCACCCCCTCACCCCCTCACCCCCAGACTTTCTGAGTTCGCCACTGCGCAAGCTTTTTCAGACGACCACCGGCAGCGTCCAGACACTGCGTAGATAGGTAGGGTGTTATTTTTAACGAGCAGCCCCTGAAGGCAGCATGAAAGTTCCGGTCACTGAAAGGAGAAGTGCTGCAAGAAAAAAAGGAAAGAGGAGGGCACCAGAGGGAGGCAGGCGGGGAGAGACTATAAACGGAAAAAAAAAAAAAGTTAATCTACACATCAACACATCGTAGTCTTCGTCCCTCATCGCAGGATTTAAGATACTTCTTCAAAAAGGTAAAAACATTTTTTTTTGACGTTGAAGGATATTCGTTCACAAAAAAAAAAAGTTTGTAGTGTTTTCCTCGGCTGTAAAGAAGCACGAAACGATTCTGCCACTGTTGCTTAAGCTGTTTATCTAACACTAATTCATTTGTCACAGCCTTAACAAAATTCAATAAGAGATAATGAGAAGGAGCGTTTTAATGTGTCCGTTCACAAAGCTGGCATTGTTGTCGTGATTAGAGATGTGTTCAGGCTCTTCCTCGAAGCGACGTTTTTGATCCCCACCCGGAAAACGTGTCGAGACGGTCTTTGTTGTTGCCAATGTCTGATACATTTTAACCAAAACTCTGCCTTTTTAACAAAACAACAAAAAAAACGGCTTATTGTCTGTTAACAATATTAAAACAGCTGGCTCTACATTTTTGATGTAGAGTCATAGTCATTATGAATATAAGTCATCGCCTGGGATGTAATTAAATTCAGTCAA